AACTTAATACAATTTGATAATTGTTTCCTGAAATAAATTATTATTTGCAAACATATGTTATCCACTTCGGATCTTGTTAGAAAATAAGAACTTGTAAATAAATTGAAAAAAAAGAAATAATAGAAAACAATCAAGGGGGAAAAGTGTCTGCATATTTTATGCCTGAAATAATGCACCAGTAAAGCTTGAAACTCCATATGACCTTTACTGTGTTGGCGTGATGTGACCCCACCAAAACAAATATCTAGCTGTAGCAATTTGCCTGGTGAACTTCTGTTAAAATTTGATTATTCATTTAATCTATTTATTTTTCTGATATAAGAAAGTAACTTTTATTCAAAAGATATTTTACTTAGAAACTTTAATGCCCAAAACTTGTAAATATTTTGAATATAGGATAATATTGTTCTCTGCTAAAGTTAAATAAATACTAACCCTTGAGGTAAAGATTTACCCCACTCTTGGGGTTTCTTTTTTATGTTATTTTGTATGGGAAAACATATATGAATCTAAGAGCTTAATAACAAAATTTTTGTGCAGCAATAATAACGTTTAAAATCAAAGCACAGAAGGCGCTGAATTTGTTTGGGTCTCAGAATGTAAGAAAGGTGCAGGTTGTGAGATTATATGTATAGTGCCACCAATGCTTTCCAGCGTTTTAATTGTAGTAAATTGGCTATAAGACTAATTGCAACACTGATATTCAATCCAAAGTTTATTTGACTTTAACAATTTGAAAAAAAAAATGAGTTACCTTTACTGGGATTTGAACTCCAGACCTCTCGCTTCCTAAGCGAGCCCGAAAACCCTTCAGCCACCGTGAATTTATATGTGAACGGGCTGAAGAAAACCATATTATTCTAAATTAGGACTTGTAACGACTTTAACTGTTGTTTAACACAGATGTAAATAATCCTGGAGCTTACTATAAGCATTTATATTTATAAAGAATCAAAGGGCTGCAAGTTCTGTGGTATTTTCTGATCTTTGCAATCTAAATCGTACTGTATATCTGTATGCATTTTCCTGTATAGGTTTATTTTTATGTATTATAATTCATTTTGCAAGGCACCAGAGTTTGATACATACGGAATTCTGCATAACTAGAGTTGCATCAAAAAATCATTTATGTTCATTTTTTACGACAGTCACACTTTATCCTTGCATATCATGGCTACTTCCTTAACAAGAACACTTAAAAAAGAATTTAACAAAAAAAAAAGTTTCCTCGCCTGGGATTCGAACTCGAGACCTCTCACTCACTAAGCGAGCGCGTTACCACTGTACCACGGAGAAGTTATACACAGAAAGGCTGAATAATATCAAGTCATTCTAAATTTAGAACTTCCATTGCATTTCGGGTTTGTAATCCTTATTAATTTCAAGGTATTTTGTTCAGGGTAAACCTGTTGTTTAAAATTGAAGTAAATATTTTAGCGAAAATCCTCTCGCCCAAACAGTCCGACATGTAAAATCTATATATTCCACTACTCGGTTTGTGTAGTATTCGGTAATAAATAGTATTTTCATTGATAAAATCATATTCATCCGCGTAATTTGTGATTGTGCATTTATTGACAATTCTATAAGCCAACGCTATTGTTTAACTTTAAATGCGTTGTAATTTGTTGGATACTTGTAACAAAATAAAATATTTCTTTCTTTTAAATCGCTAGTTTTAAGCTGTTTTGAGAACTACTTGTTGTTAGGTTTGTCGTAAACTTCTGTGTCAGAGATTGAATGTCCGCTTTGTATTTAGTTATTTTCGATCAGAAAATACAATAAAACAATATTAGAAATCTTCGACCATTCAGGAATTACTTTGCTTGAAAATTGATGCGCCTGTCTTTGACCATCTTTACGCAGTGAACTCCCCCTGAATTTTTCGGCTTTAGTGTACATACAAAAGGTAAGTAACCGCTTCAAAAAAGTGGACTACTTTCGGCATTTGCAGTTAAGAACATTAGACTCTGAAATTTCGCTACCATTATTTGTTTGGTCTGACGACCCAAACAAATAAAAACTAACAAGACTAATGACCCTTAAACAAGAGCACCGCTAGGCAGAGCATCATATGCCCGAAAGTGTTTTTTTTTTTTGTTTTGTTTTTTCTTTTTGTTAGTAAGGATGAAGCATTTGTAAGACATGGGAATTAAAAAAAGTATTACCTTCTTCAATAGCAATCTTCCTATGAAGTTTGAATACTGTGGGCAAAATGGAACTTAAGTTATGCTCTGGAAACTGTTTTCAGTTTTGAGGTAATAACGACCTTGAACTTTGACCTTGTGACCCAAAAATCAATAGGAGTGTTCTATCCAATATAGACAATCATCCTATGAAGTTTGAACACTGTGGGCCAAATAGAACTTAAGTTATGTTCTGGAAACTGTTTTCAGTTTTAAAGAAATAGTGACCTTGACCTTTGACCTTGTTATTCCAAAATCAATCGGGGTCTTCTACCCAATATGGACACTCATCCTTTGAAGTTTGAATATTGTGGGCTAAAAAGACCTTAAATTATGCTCTGGAAAACTGTTTTCAGTTTTGAGGTAATTATAGCGACCTTGAACTTTGACCTTGTTACCCAAAAATCAATAGGAGTGTTCTACCCAATATGGACAATCGTCCTATGAAGTTTGAATATTGTGGGCCAAATAGACCTTAAGTTATGCTCTGGAAAATGTTTTCAGTTTTGAAGTAATAGCTACCTTGAACTTTGACCTTGTGACCCAAAAATCAATATGAGTGTTCTACCCAATATGGACAATCATCCTATGAAGTTTGAACACTGTGGGCCAAACAAACTTTAAGTTATGCTGTGGAAACCGTTTTCAGTTTTGAGGTAATAGCGACCTTGAACTTTGACCTTGTGATCAAAAAATCAATAGGAGTGCTCTACCCAATATGGACAATCATCCTATGAAGTTTGAACATTGTGGGCTAACTATAACTTAAGTTATGTTCCGGAAACTGTTTTCAGTTTTAAAGTAATAGTGACCTTGACCTTTGACCTTGTGACCCCAAAATCATAAGAGGTCTTCTACCCAATATGGACAATCATCCTATGAAGTTTGAATACTGTGGGCAAAATGGAACTGTTTTCAGTTTTAAGGTAATAGTGACCTTGAACTTTGACCTTGTGATCCCAAGAACGATACTGTGGGCGAAATGGAACTTAAGTTATGCTCCGGAAACTGTTTTCAGTTTTAAGGTAATAGTGACCTTGACCTTTGACCTTGTGACCCCAAAATCATAAGAGGTCTTCTACCCAATATGGACAATCATCCTATGAAGTTTGAATACTGTGGGCAAAATGGAACTGTTTTCAGTTTTAAGGTAATAGTGACCTTGAACTTTGACCTTGTGATCCCAAGAACGATAGGGGTCTTCTACCCAATATGGACAATCATACTATGAAGTTAGAACATTGTGGGCCAAATGGAACTTAAGTTATGCTCCGGAAACTGTTTTCAGTTTTAAGGTAATAGTGACCTTGACCTTTGACCTTGTTACCCCTAAGTCAATAGGGGTCTTCTACCCAATATGGACAATCATCCTATGAAGTTTGAATACTGTAGGCCAAACGGAACTTAAGTATGCTCCGGAAACTGTTTTCAGTTTTGAGGTAATAGTGACCTTGACCTTTGACCTTGTGACCCCAAAATCAATAGGGGTCTTCTACCCAATATGGACAATCATCCTATGAAGTTTGAATATTGTCGGCCAAATGGAAGTTACGTTATGCTTCGGAAACCAAATTGCTAACGGACGGACGGAAGTGCCAACAATTGGGGTTAATGTGCTTTTTATCAACTGGATGGACGGACAGACGGACGCACGCCAGGGAGTATAACATAGTATGCCCGAAATTCTTTCGGGCATATAAAAAGGCAACCAGTATAGAGCCCATTTACATCCATACATACTTGGTAGCTCATTTTGTACAAATACATGTACATTAAATCCCTCAGAGTTTGAATAAACTGTTCCAAATTCACAGTTGAGCAAAATCATATCGTAATTTTAGTTGGTAAAGAGTGACATAGACTAAAGACAGGCTAAATATATTTAAGTTACTTTTCGCTTTATGATCACTACTCAAATGCACATGTAAATGGAGAGCTACTAGAGATGTGTTTGTGAAAGATTTTATTCATCCATGCCATGAAGGTCTTAAATGACTTCTTCATGTTTACTATGTCAGATAATTAATAAAGAGCGAGAATAATGAAAATTGCTATAATTTAACAAAGCACACTTTCATAACTTCCATCTCAATAGATATTGAGAAATTGCTATTTATAAAAAACTGTTTAAACCCCGTTGTTTCCTTGAGTAAGAAATTTTTCACTCATAGCTTCTACTCATTTTAACAAAGACATGTATTACATGACTTATAGAACTGTGGTTTCAGGGACGGATTCGGTGTCTATATTTCCTACGCTGTTCAAACTAAAATAAATTCTGTATGAAATGAATTTAAGCTTGTCCACAAAAATATTTTTGAAAAGTGCTCATACTCGTCGATTAATGGCGTTAAATCCGTGTTATAATTCAGTACCATATATGGAAAAAATCACATTTTCCGAGGATACCGCGAAGCACTATTCATGTACATTGGTGTTACCTCATATAAACGGCATGAATCACATTTTATCATCTTATTTTATGTACCAATTAGAGCCAACAAAAAGCCAAAATCACACTCAAAACGGTTGGTCAAGCCATCATTTTCACGAATGATCTTGAAAAGTATAATAGCAATTTCGTGGCAATAATATTGATAAGGGATAAAGTAGAATGTCTTCGCAGCCGTATGCAGCTATTCCTTTTATTTCAGATTGGTTGAATAAAAAAATATATTGGCCAGTTTACTTACCGCGTTGGGAATCCTGACAGGTATCCGCCATTTATTGAACAAATTTGCATTACTTTTTGCACAAATCGTGCGTTGTTTTCACATTCCAGCGTAACTGGATATAGGGGCCTACGGTGTTTACCTTGGCTTCATTTAAAGTTAGCCGGAAAGTGACACTTTGTCCGGATCCTATCGTCGCTAATTGTGGAGTTGGAGAATTCGTTGAAGATGCATAGAAAGTTTCAGTGTTCAAAGAAGTCCGATGACCCTGGCGTAGTCTTGATCGTTTTTCCTCGCCACTGGCCATTTTTGATATAACCTTGAAAATATCAAATTGTAAAATTACCTAGGTAAACGAAAAAAGGAAGTACCAAATAACGTGCAGATAACTGGTATATACTTGTTCACATTTTCTTCATGCTGAAATTTAATTCTGATTCATTAAAAATTCATTTATAGGAGTTAAATAATACAATGTGGCCATACCACGTGACTTTTCGGGTACGGAACACGCCGATTTTTCACCCGATTCAGGTATGTTTTTTATTCATAACTTATTTATTACTCAACCGATTTTGATGAGATAAGGCGCAGAGTACCCGTAATTATATCAGTTGTCCACGGTATATCAAAATTCTGAAAACCCCTGAATGGTTTTTGAGAACATTCGAGTACAGTTTTCTTTTCATAGCCTGGGCCGAGGGGAACGGTACACACTCATTTGGCATAACAGGCGATTTCTAGCAAGTCATATGTTTTTTGACACTATTTCATAGAAAAATACATGTTAAATCTGATATATTTACTATATCCAATGTATCGAGTGAATGCAGTGATGTTTTAGCATATTTTCATAAAGTGATGTTGAAATGATACGGAACACACTTTTATTTCAAAAGATACGGTACACACACAATTTCTGTCTTTGAAACAATTCTAAAATAAAATATATAAAAAATTAATTTACATTAGATCTACAATGTGAATGTTTTTTTCATAGTTATACATTTAATTAATTTAAACGAGAAGCCTGGGGCCTGTTTTGCAAAATATCATTATGCTTACAGTTTGATGTAAACAGGATTATTAAGAAAATAAAAGAACATTTTGAGAGTACGTTGCGCAAAATTCGATTTTATATGTTGAGCAATTAATATTTGGCTATAAAATGTTAAAATTTGAGGGAGGGATACGGGAGACATTCAAAACTTTGTTTTGTTTTGATTTTCATTTGAAACAATATGGTATATTCTTTTGGATTATAAAACGAATTGTGAAATTTATGGACATCTGTTATATGCGATTATTATTTCATTTAATTTGTTTGTTCGAATATATAAATGACTGTCTAAACGTAGTATGAATATATAAACAAACAAGAAGTTAGGAGTAAGTTGGAAATATATGTTCCTTGCAAAATGTTGTTTAAATAATCGAATTTGGAGAAAAAACCCTGGTTTTGATGTAAGTGGATTTTTTTAAATCACGGAAAGTTTAAAGTTTTTTACAAATATATTTCGCACTTTTACGTGCAATAAAAATTAATAATTTGATAATTTGAAGAACCCATATGGGAACAAGGCCTGTTACATATCATAACGTAGTTTATTCAAGGTAACCTTGTTACATATACATGTAAGGATATACATGTTAGGAAATTTGGCAAAAAAATCTTGGACTTTCATTTCAAGATGCATTTAACACTTGAGTTCATGGATATGTGTGCTTGCGTGTTTGTGTTAAAAATAAAATGATATTTTAATAATACCCAATTTGTCAATCAAATGCTATGGATTTTGGAGGCTGCGTTCTGTTTTATATACTACATGAAGTAGGTACGAGACCACAAGTGACTTCGATGTTTCGATTTTTTTAAATGTGAGAAAGTTTTCTTACTACCGTACAGAATGTCGGTCGTTTTACTCAGGTGCCCGTTTGTTCCTTTATTTATACCCAAAGGGGCACTTGTAAAACTCGAAAGTCGCCACATGATAATGTCAGTTTAAATGAGCCGTGCAACCAAACCAAAAAATGACCTAATTACATTAATTAAAAATTTTTTTTAAAGCTTCATGCCTTTAAACATTAAAAATTTAAGCAATGGCGACTACATTTTATTTGTTTGGGTCGTCAGACCAAACAAATAATGGTAGCGAAATTTCAGGCTCTGATGTGCTTATTTGCAAAAAATAAGAAAGTAGTCCGAACCCCTGGAAGCGGTTACTTACCTTTATATGTACTCTAACGCTGAAAAATAAGGGGGGATCACTGTGTTAAGATTGTCAAATGACGGGCGCATTAATTTTCAAAGCCTTCTTGGGGAGAAGAAAAAGTAGTTCCCGATTGGTCAAAGATTTCAAATATTGTGTAAATTCTTTACAGATATACATGTAATATTAAGCTCCACGATTATTTACATCAGTGTCAAACGAAAATTAATAAGGGTTAAAACCCTAACTTAGAATGATATGGTTTTCTTCAGGCTGTTATCTTATAACTTTCCCGTGGTCGAGGGGTTACACGCTCGTTTAGGAAGAGAGATGTCCTGAGTTCAAATCCAAGTTAAGGCAACTCATGTTTTTTTTTGTTTTTTTTTTTTAATTGTTTAAGCCAAATAAACAATGAATTACATATCAGTGTTGCAATAAGCCTTATAGCCAATTTACTATTTTTAAGACATTAGAAACAACATTGGTGGCACTATACAAAACAAATTGGTTTACAATCTCACAGCCTTCACCTTTCTAACATTCTGAGACCCAAACAAAATTCAGCGCCTTCTGTGATTTTATTTAATTAAACATAACCATGATATTGCAAAATTGTACCTAATGACTTGCTTATTATAAACAAAATATAAATATCTATAAATTGTAATCAAGTCATGATACTTTTCAGCGAATTTAGGTCATGACCTTGTTTTTATTTTTTCAGGATGAAGCAAAAAGACATATCTTACTTCACTTAAACTAATAGAAATAAAAAACAACAATAAACAACAATAAACAGCATTATATAACAACATTTTCTTTCTTTAGAGCGCAACTACCTGATTCTGTGAAAAACATACCCTAGGTGATTTTAAATAGGACAATAACATGGAGGGTTGTAAATGTTAAGCGTGATCTCTTGAAATATAGTGCACACAAATTCATATAAATATTAAAAGTAAGCATCATGATACAAATTTCCAAAAAAGGTTTCCCGGGGGTTTTCCCTTTAAATTAAAAAAATTATTAAAATATGAAAAAAAAACTCACTATAATTAAAAATTTAAATTTTTAAAAAATTTTTTTTAGAAATTTTTAAAAAACCGGGAAATTTTGGTGGGACCCTATTTTTGAAAAAAAGTTGGGGTTCGTACCATTTAAAAATAAATTTTTAAATTGCTTTAAAAATATGGGATTCATTTGATTTCAAATTTGGGCAAAAGTAAAAAAATCAATTTAAAATGTTTTTAATTTTGAAAAGTGTCAAAAAAAATGAATTGCTAGAAAAACGCCCGTTATCCAAAGAGTGTGTAGTTCCCTCGGCCCAGGGCTTGAAAAAAAAACTGTACTCGAATGTTCTCAAAAAATTCGGGTTTCAGAATTTTGAATATAGCCGTGGATAGCTGATATAATTACGGGTACTCTGCGCCTAATCTGATAAAATCGGTTGAGTAATAAATAAGTTGTGAATAAAAAACATACCTGAATCGGGCGAAAAATCGGCGTGTTCCGTACCCGAAAAGTCACGTGGTATGGCCACATTGTAATAGCTCTATTTATTTTTATCCAATAGACCTCACAACGCCATGCAGTCATATTGAATATCATTAATTAAAGCTTTGTCCATACTAAGATTTGACGATAAAAATAACTTGCCTCTCTCCACTGTGGGTTCAAATCCCGTTTGGGAGTCTAACGTGTGCGGAAACTGTCCGGATATTTTACGGATAGTCGGTTGGTCTACTTAGCCGCCAGTTCGTGCCCGAAATAATCCGCGAAAATGGCACCTGACGTCATCATATCCTTTTAACGTTTCAATGTCGGTGTAACTTAAAACCAAATCAAAATGCGAAATGGCGTCGTATATTTCTTCCCGATTGTCTTTCATCCAAGTCATCAAAGTACGTAGGCGGACGAGTCAAGAAGTTTAATTATATTAATTTCCTGTGTATTGTGATTATTTAGATCAGTGAAAGAGGTTTCGTCGAACTACCACTTTAAATTTAAAAATCGTTTCCTTGTTTCCTAGAAATTTAATAATATTATTGTTTGAATTATACCTAGCTTTTGTGTTGCTTTTAAGGCTCCTCCAATACAAATGGCTCCTGTTGTAAAGTGATAGTTCACAGAAGTATTTTATGTATTCTCAAGTTTCCTTAAACAACTCGTCTGCACGGTTGGTATTTTAACTAAATAACATGAAAAACGCGACGTTCTGAATAATCTGTATGCATATGTAAAACAAAATTTCTTCGAAACTTAAACATTGAGGGCGCTACGCAGTTATTTATCTACTCCAATTAATCCTCCCACATAACCAAAACCGAAAGTTGTTTTAAGTTGGCAAATGCGTATACATCCTTATTCAACCGATTTAAATTGTCTAACCCATTCAAGATGATCACACTGTCGTCGTTAAATAATGTCAGATATCCAATTTGATTCTTAATTTCAATTTTTTTACTATCAATCATTTTGATATTTTGAAAGCGAAAGTGTTTTCCAATCGCAACTTTTCGGTCCTTGATATCTTTTCGGCCCTTTCCGTCAAACCTCGAACAGTTAGTCAGTTAAAAGTAAAAGACTAAATTTATACCAATTAACCGAGTAAAGGTCTACCTAAATTAAGGAAATTAACAGATAAAACAGTAAACAATATATCATTTATAATTGTACTTATTGTTATGGTTGTAGAAACAGAAAGTAGAAAATGTCTACATGTTGACATTTATTACGATTTTTTTTTAAAATGTACATCATTTAGCATTTTTAAATTGATAATGATTGTCAGTCACTCAGACGTATGTTTAAGTCTAATTTTACCCCCCAAAAAAGACGTTATTTTCCATTGATGTCAAAAATTTATATATGCATTCTTTACATTATCTGTTAAAAGATTTTTAGCTCACCTGAGCTTGCTCAGGATGAGCTTTTAGGATCGTTGAATGTCCGTCGTCCGTCGTCTGTCATCCGTCGTCCGTCCACACTTGTCCGTTAACACTCTAGCGGTCACATTTTTGCCTCAATCATCATTAAACTTTTTCGGGATGCTTATCTTGTTGATAGCTCGGA